TATTAGATTGGAAAAAAGCTTCTTATCTTGTAGTGAGCTCATTATTCAATAACTTAATGTTGTTTTAAAGCCATTGCATTAAGAGTCTACACCTTGATTATGTAGATTTATCTAATACTTGTTTGTATCTTCTATTGTTTTTTATTTTACTATCTGAAACCTTTTGTTATAAGCATTATTGGAGTAACTTCAATATATGATTTATCTTTTGATTTATAAACTTGTGCTTTTAGCCTTATCTATATATAGCCATATTGTTGTATTATAACATAGCTAATGGATGAAAGAAAAAAGTTGAATTATATTATAGAAGATCTTATTTCAAAATATAGTAGCAATTATATATATATATATATATATATGTATAATAGTCAAGGAAGTAGTAAAATTAGTAAGTATTAATATTATTTTTTATAAAATAATATTTTATTTACTTTATTGAATTATAAATAAGGAAAAAAAAGATAGATTAACAAAATTAGTATTATAGACATCTTAAGGTAAAATTCATTAGTTCTTTAAAGCTAAATTCACCTAAAAAAATAGATATTGATACTTAAAAAGTAGGAATTATAATTGTAAATTGAATTGAGACCATGAGACATATAATTGCGTCCTTGCAATAAATTTGGGATTCTTTTGTTGATTTGAAACTATGACTCAAGAGCGAAGAAGAAAGAGGTTCTCCAGGCATTGATTTTGAATGATTTGAGTTTGTAATGAATTTATACAAGATTTGCAAAGTTAGGTTTGTTTTGAGGTGACTTTAGTTTTAAATTTTATTTTTTTAATAAAATTGCATAATTTTTAGAAATTATGAGTCATGTAATGAACTAGTAGAAAACATAATTTCTAAAAATTGTGCAACTTTTGAAAGCAAATGAATGGTGAATATAAGAGATATTGGCATTGAGAGATTGATATCAAGGTTGGAGAAGGAAGTTGGTTGATATCCAAGTAGATTATGAGGTTTTTCTTCTATTTAGTAATCATAAGTTATTGAGATTTTGAATCCATTGTAAGATTTGGTTAAGTTTTGATTATGGATATTTAAGATTATATTAAGGTTTGATTAGGATTAAGATTTCTAATAAGATTATTAAATTAAAACATTATTTTGTATCACAAATCATGTTTAATTTCAGTGTTTAAAATAATTTTATGTTATTAATATATTTTTTTGTAATATTAAAAATATTTTTATTATTTAAAAAAATAAATGATAATAAAAATTTTAAATAAAGTTCTAAAAAATAAAATTATTTAATTGATTTGAATATCATAAATCCATAACATAAAAGGAAATTGTGATAATAATTTAATACTTCTAAAATAAAATATTAAATAAAATGGACATATATAATTATTGACTTCTTAATTTAAGCATAAAAACAAATTCCAAATTGTATGTTTGAATTATTATAATTTTCAAACTTCATCTTTTTATTTTATTTTCTACATCTTGAATTTCTTAATAGAAATGGTTGCAAAAGAATTTTTCTAAATGATATTTTTTAAAAAAATTTATAAACCTAATATGAATAAAAAAGAAGAAGTAAATATTCACTTAAATTTTAAATAATATTAGCTTTTAAAAACATTCTAAAAGAATCAAATAAAGATAGTAACTTTAAGATTTTGACTTATTAACATTTATTCTTTGGAACCAAAATTATGTAGAATTCACAATATTCTTTGGATAACAAATTTTTAGATATTATAATGTTTTATTTTCAATAATATAAATCAATGAATAAAAAACCAAAAAAATATTATAATTTCAAATGGTATCAATTTTTTATTAAAAATTAAATGTGATTAGGTCACCATCCTAAAACCATGATTTTAGAAGAATTTCAGAAATTTATTAAATTATTTAAATTATTATATTTAAATATTATAAACTTTAAATAAATATATATATATATAATAAATAAACGTATATGTATATTTTGAATATTTAGATTTAAAAACTAAAAACTAAAAATAAAAAAATAATCTTTAATTCGTATAAAAATAAAAATAATATTGAAAAATATTTTAAGATTTCTAACAGAATTATTGTACTGAAATATTATTCTATATCACAAATTACATTTAGCTTCAACATTTAAAATAATTTCATGCCATTCATTTCTTCTTTTTTTGTAATTTTAAAAATATTTCCATCATTTAGGGAAAAAATACATGATAATACAAATTACAAATAAAGTTCTGCAAAGTAAAATTATTTAATTTATTATCTATCTATTTATCGATTTATGTATATATATATATATACATATATATATGAAATCACCCATATAAATCTTAATCCAATCTATTTTCAATAAAATATAAACTATTGTTAATCATTTTCATTATTTTGCATCCCCAAAACCTTCTCTTCTAGCCATAGCTCTCTTGTTCATCTTTCTTCACAATTCACTTCCAACATAAAATAGTCTTTAAAGTGCTTGTTTCTACCTTCTTAGCTAGTATCTTCCATGTTCTTCTTCTAAGGTCTTCCAACCCTTTCTACAAATTCCATTCTCTACCCCTCTCACCTCCTTGGAAAATAAACACATCTTCAAGTGGAAAATTGAGTGATTAGTGACAAAATGCAAAGTCCTAAGCAATGCAAGAGCAAAATAAAGTAGAAATAGGTGGGTTAATTTAATATTTTCTCTCTGTATATAAATAGGCGGATTAATTTAATATACCCAAATATATGTTTATGTGATGATTAAATACAAAAATTACAACTATAATAATCAGAATTGTAATTTTTGGTAAATAACATCATAGTTATACCTTAAATGTAAGTATGATGCTTTAAATAACATAGTTTAATTAAAAATTCATATTACATAGAAAATTTCACAATAATGTATATATATATATATATATATATATAGTGGCCAAGTGGCAAGGACAGAAATGGAAGACACCAGCCATGTGTCCCTCAGTAACGAGGGACATAAGGACAGTTAAAGATCTGAGGTGGGGACATGAGGTGGCCTTGCACAGCTGTGAGTGAATGCAGGCACTCTGTTTGTTCCCTACGGTTCATTTCGCTTCAAGGCATATCCTCATGACTTGAATACTGTCATCCCCTAAAGCTGCGAAGAAGATATTCATCATCTCTTCCACACCCCTCCTTTGCACTCAACCCTGCTTCAATCACTGTCGCAGGGCTTCCTTTGAGCTAGAATTATTCCAACTTTAGGGTGAAGTGGGGTGACTCATCTTTCATTTCAATTATCATTCATTGTGTATTTATTTTTTTCTTGCTTTCAAATATGTCCTCTTCGCCATCTGAAACGCTTGTCAATTTCACTCAAAAAGTGGCATCTGTGGAAAGTTGGTTTTGTTCTTCTCGTGAACTTCATTTAGATTTTTACTAGAATTTGTGCCTTTCTACCTTTGAAATGTAAATCAAACATATCGTGGTCTGTGACCCCCTCCCTGTTTCATTCAAAACTTTGAATAGCAATGAATTCATTGGTTAGGAGGGTGGAAACGAGACTCTCAACTTTGACGATCATTTGCGGAAAGAGAAAAACTAGAAGAAAAAAAAGAAAAAGAAAAAAAACAGAGGGTTTGTACATTGTTTTCTATCCACATCTTATGTGCAGACAGCTTCCCCGAGACAATTGTGGGTGCAAATATCAAAGAACGTCCAAAGGACAAAACTTCATCAGAAAGTGATACAGATGAAAGTAGAAAAAACTGGAAAAAAACATAAAAAATATAAAAAAATGAATCCTACGGTGACATCAAAACAAATGAAAAATGCCTGGAATGTTGTGAAGTGGCAAAGACCTTCCCAAAAAATCTCTCCTCTAATTAGTTGCAAGATTGATTACAGGAAGCACAGGATCAGATTTGTCTCCTGATGGATGAAACTGTCGTTGGATAGCATCCACAACTGATTGAATCGATAATATCTCGGACGTCATCACCAACGGATCGTTGCACCGAAGAATCTGAATTCATGCATCCATCCAACGGCATTCATTCCTGACAGAGCCAAATGAGAGCGACTATACCGTGAGCAACTCTTCATGAACAGTGTGTGGGTGCCCGTGCAGAAAGCACACATCACCAGCCACATTCCAAGTGAGTACAAACAGGGGCCTCACACTTCACAGGGCCACCATGCAAGTGGGACCAGTATCCTATATGTGTTATTTCTGATATTTCCCAAAAGAATCTCAATCACTCAAACGGAATCCCCCCCCTCCCCACAAACTCAGCCCCCTCGGTGCCAGTTGGCCGCGTTGGTGTGAGTTCTCATCCGGTTATAGGTTCTCGCGGCTGTATGAGAGCCGCGGAAATAGGTACCGCAAACGATGGCATATTCCTCTCGGAGAAAGGTAAAAGGATTTCATGGATGTGAGTGTCCTTTTTGGAAGCTAACCTCAAAATGAGTTGACCAAAACATTCCTGAATGATTTATTTGGGGATCAGAGAATGTTATGATTTTCTTAGAAGGGTCGAAACATCCAATATATATATATATATATATATATAGATATGTATATATATATATATAGATATGTATATATAAAATTATTGGAATTCTACTTTGGAGGTTGATTTTTAACAACTAAATGTCATCTAGTGTTTAAGGGAATTGTACTTTCAATTTAAATTATAAATAGTTGGGTTCACTCAACAATTTATATAGTTAAATGCTCAATGACAAAAGTCACAAACTAACCTAAATTATAGAAAACATCCTTCCATGAATGCTCAGAGATTAAAACGGTATGGAAACCAAGGCTAGAGTTGAACAAAATGAGGTCAACGAGCAGACAACTATATTCGCGTGGTGACATGGACGATAGGAGCGATGCCCCCTCAGCAGGGGTGCTGTCTCCGTGGGCGTCTGAAACCGCGCGCGGTCACAGGACGTGGCTAAACTTAGCGATGGCGGAGCGCATCGTTCGAGTAGCATCACTGGAAGGTCAGTATCGGCCACGGATCCATTTCATCAGTGGTAGCAATTCCACTCATCTGATGGTGGAGCTCGTTCTAAATTACTTCGTGGACGGCCTCTCCCGCCTCGTTCTGCAAAAAAATCTCCCATTCGCCCTTCGCTTGTGGGCCGTTTCTGCACCATCGATCAGTTCACTGTCTTCAGCACCTTCTCGGAAGGAATGTTTCAGCTCGGGACCTTGAAGAGGAATCGCGGATTTCTCATGATCTGCAGTTTGGGTTTCCACAAATTGCACCTGAAGAGCATCTAGGGGTTGAGAGAGAGGGAGAGAGAGAGAGAGAGAGAGAGAGAGAGCGAGAGAGCTTGTGTTAAGAGAATTACGGTGAAGAGGTTGTGAGATTGGAGGAGATGGCGGCTGCTCTGGCAGCGGTTGCAGCAGCAGCGGCGTCGACCGCTGCTGCTTCCCCCGCCCGTCTTTCAGTTGAACGAACTACCCGTGGTGCGTTTGTTTCCGGTGGTAATGCTCAACTGGGTTCAAGCTCTTCGTCGCTCCGGGGCACCGGAGTAGCTCTGTCTTCTTCCAATGTGACCCTCCGTAGGCAGAGACATCGCAAGGTTGTGGTCTCGCCCCGCAACGTGTCGGATTCGCCAGTGAGTGTCGAGGCTTGCCTTGATCCGGACGCTAGCCGGGTAAGACAGTAATCCCTTGTTGTCTTAGAGTTTGAGTTTTCCGAAGAATGTGGTTCAGTACGCGCTCATGTGGGTTCTTCTTAGAGTCTCATAGGTGTTCTTAAGTTTCGCAAGTTCTGGACGAGGTCTCGTGCATTGTCGTGTGGGAATGTGAGCTGATTGTAGGCGTGAGGAAATAAGCCATTGGAATATGCTTTGTCAGTGGGGGTAAGACATAATCAAGAGAGTGTGGTTGTTTTGAATTGTAATGTGGCTTACGTTTTGCTCGTGGAACTTGTTGCCCTTCATTATTTTTTGAATATTCGGGAACTGCGTGTGGTCATTGGAATCGCTTTGTTTTGTATATGCGGTGCTCTAATCACGTTTATGTGAATTTTGGATATTGCAGAGTGTGCTCGGAATTATTCTTGGTGGAGGAGCTGGAAGCCGTCTGTACCCACTGACTAAGAAGCGCGCGAAGCCAGCCGTGCCATTAGGTGCCAACTACCGGTTGATCGACATTCCCGTCAGCAACTGTATCAATAGCAACATCAATAAGATATATGTGCTCACGCAGTTTAACTCAGCGTCTCTGAACAGACACTTGTCCCGAGCTTACGCTAGTAACATGGGAGGGTACAAGAATGAAGGTTTCGTGGAGGTTTTGGCTGCCCAGCAGAGTCCCGAGAATCCTAATTGGTTTCAGGTATGATACCTGCATATAATTCACAATCGTGGGTTTTTGAATGGGCTGTGCAATTCTCTGAGAATCTTCCCAGTCTTACCTGATGTCCTCACGCTGAGATTGAATTACTCTGTAGACAAATCGGATGTATGGGAATTTTGGACTCAACGCTTTGCGAAAGATACTGTGTATACGCCCTCTAGTAAACTGTGTTGTAAATTTTGATGTTCTAGGGAACCGCCGATGCAGTGAGGCAATATCTGTGGCTTTTTGAGGAAGCCCAAGTTTTGGAATATGTCATCTTGGCCGGAGATCACTTGTATCGAATGGACTACCAGCACTTCATCCAAGTCCATCGTGAGACAAATGCTGATATTACTGTTGCTGCTTTGCCTATGGATGAAGCTCGTGCCACCGCCTTTGGATTGATGAAGATCAATGATCAGGGGCGGATCATTGAATTTGCCGAGAAACCGAAGGGTGACGAGCTCAAGGCTATGCAGGTAATCAGCGGTGTCAAAAACCGACAGAATAAACTTAAGATCTTGTTTGTGGATCATCTTGTCCCAACAAATTCGGAGTAGAACACTAGGCGATAGAATATTTAAGAGAGAGTAACTATTTGAGGAATCAAGTTAATCTTATGGAGGATTATTGAGTTGTTACAGTGAGATCTCTTCTACATTGTAAGTTTTCTGATGATCTACCTCATACGGTGTATGATGAATCAGGTGGACACGACAGTTTTGGGTTTAGATGCCGAGAGGGCCAAAGAAATGCCCTACATTGCAAGTATGGGTATTTACGTCGTCAGCAAGGAGGCTATGATCACTCTGCTTCGTAATGAATTCCCCGAGGCAAATGATTTTGGAAGTGAGGTCATTCCTGGTGCTACGAAAATGGGCATGAAGGTCAGAACTCGCTTGCAAGATTTCTCTTCTCCATTAAAACGTTTGCTTGTATACTCATTCCAACTGTTGGAGGGCAAAGATTATTTTTATTAGTCTTAGTTTCTTGAGAGGAGTGACAAGGCGACGCTAGCTAGGTCTTTTAAGTAAACTAGCTAAAGAGCTATTTCTGACGACTGAATTCGCAGTAATTGCCCAGCGCGCACTTGGATAGCGTGGAAAGGTTACTGAATATTCGGAGATATCTCCAAAGGTTGTCTGTGAACGTGATGTTCAGTGGCAATGACCCGCATTGTTCCCAATTGTATTGTGACTGGATTGTGTACCAGGTTCAAGCGTACTTGTATGATGGCTACTGGGAAGACATCGGTACTATCGAGGCTTTCTACAACGCGAATTTGGGCATCACCAAGAAGCCCGTGCCAGATTTCAGGTGAGTAGCCAGCAATTAGATGAATTAAATTCAATCGTATTGTGATCTGCAAGTTCCTTTTATGACAGCCTCCCTTGAACTTCGCCTTTTGCTAATTGCTTATTATTATTTAGGTATGCTGTAGGATAATCCACTAAAGCAATCATTTTTTCGTTAACATGCTGCTTTTTGCCTCTTCAGTTTCTACGATAGGTCAGCCCCTATCTACACACAGGCTCGCTTCCTCCCTCCCTCAAAGATGTTGGATGCTGATGTAACTGACAGCGTGATCGGAGAAGGATGTGTCATTAAGGTAGGATCCCCAGAGATGCTTCACCCTTGTTGGGTTAAAATGTGATTTACTTGCCTCATCATACGCTAAAATTGGGTTTAACCCACTCAGGAGATTGTGTTTTATCATAGGGAATGTTGTAGGATGGCCAAGAATTGAAACTTTTATATTAAGAAGGTGGCCTAATTTGGATGTACCACTCTGCTAACCAACCTTTCTTCTGAAACGTGTAGAACGCTAAAATCTTCCACTCAGTGGTTGGCCTGAGGTCTTGGGTCGCAGAAGGTGCAGTTGTAGAAGATGCACTTCTCATGGGTGCTGACTACTATGAGGTATTCAAAACAAATCCTCTGTTCAGTCGTACGAGTTACATAACTGAATGTTATTAACTGTTTGTTGCGAAGCTTGATTCCTAAGTGGCGTATTAATCGACTTCACAAGTATAAGGAATTCGCTGCAATACGAGTTCCGAATCATGTAATTATTTGTTACATCTGCGGACACAGCCAAGTTGATTAGAAAGAGGCTGACATAGATCTTGATGCTTGACAACTTTCTAATGGAGCGATCATTCTTTGTGTGTGGCAGACCGATGAGCAAAGAAACGAGTTGCTAGCCTCAGGTGGCATACCCATGGGCATTGGAAGAAACTCTGTAGTGAAAAGAGCAATCATTGACAAAAATGCACGAATTGGAGAGAATGTTAAGGTATGCTTTGTTCTCACTTTGGTAAGCTGCAAGTAGTATTCATATGCACATAATGAGTTTCATAAGTCTTGTATAATACATACATGGAAGTATTACCATTTTGAATATGGATTAATGGTCGGACGTTATCCTTTGTGTAGATTATTAACGTGGGCGGTGTAGAGGAGGCTGCACGAGAAACAGATGGATACTTTATTAAGAGTGGAATTGTTACGATTATCAAGGACGCAATCATTCCCCACGGAACGGTCATCTAAGCTTATTCGCTTGAGATGAGAAGTCCGAGGGCAGTAGAGAATAGAGTATCTCCTTTATGCGAAAAGCTCTAACCTGGGTAGTGATAGAAAATCTGATGCAAACACGGAAGTAGCGTATTTTGCCTTTTTCCTGCCAGGGCTTGTAGCAACTTGAGGGGAAGTGTAACGTAGATGTGGGACGGTCTTTGCACCTGTTAGACCATAAACCGTCAACCTTTATACAGTTGAGCTTGTAGGTCTAGGGTGGGATTACATGGGTATGTTTATCCCACGTCTTTCTTTCTTTCCTTCATTACTTATTTTAGTTTTTTCCTCTTCTTCTCCCCTGTAGGTAAATTCATTGTGAAGTGCCACCTCTTGCTCACATTTCTAGCCCTTCTAGTTTTAATAAGCTCACCGACAAGCAGATGATTAGGTTAGCGCTTGGTGATGATGTGACACTGCGTTGCAGGGAGGTGATGGTCAATTTTGGTAGACATGTATACAAGCCTTAGGCATTGGTTCAAATATGCACTGTAAACAGACATGAACCAATTCTTAAATTTGAATCATGAGTCATATAATGCACCATTTGTCAAAAAGGGTTCAGTGGTATGTGATTATTGTGATGAATAAATCTCACTCAATGTATGAACTTTCAATATCATGAACTGTCTCTATTGTCAAGAGAAGCAGTTAAACTGTATACAGAATATATGTGACAATAGGTGAATTCTGGTGAAATATTGCATTATGTGAACATTTTTATGAACTTTTGATGATATATATTACAGTTAACATCACTACCAATAATCTGTCTCTGCTCACAACATCCCTGCTGATGTCGCTATTCCTAACACATCACTGCTGGTGCAACCACTAATCTTCACATTCAAAATTTACTATCCTCACAACTTAAACTTGGACTAAACTGCAGCGTCATCTAACACATCCAACATTCTGTAGAAAGTACTGTGATTGTCTTCAAAAGCAACCAACACCCTTAAACTTCTCATTCATTGCAGTAAGAGCAACTAATCCAACATCATAATATGGTCAGCATTTGTTCATAAAAAAAAGTGCATGGTGTTGTATGAAGTGCAAACATTTACGTCAGACACTGATATGTGGGGCTTAGAGAATAGTTTAACCTGTAGTGAAGTTTGAACACAGGGTCTTGTATGAAAGCATGAAAGCTTGCTCTGACGACAACATTAAACCTGTTTTGGCACAGTTACTACGCAGGTTCTTGTCACAAACTGCGTCTTCCTTTTCTAATTCACAATCTATTTTTGATCCAGCATAATACCAATATAGAAAATGGTTTGCTGTAGGGTAAGTTAAAACTTGTGGTCGAAAATGAATGAATCATTTGTTTTGTGATTTAATACATATTCGAATACATAGTGAAAATTATTTCACCTTGAACCGTTATCTCAATTGCATCAGAAGACAATAATGATAAGGGATTGTTTCCATGCAAAATCTTAAGAATTTTGAAAATGAAGATTTTGAGTGTTTTGTGTAATACACTTAATGATTATAGTCCATCTACATAACATATAATATTATCAACAATGTTATATCCATTAAAAAAAACTTATTTCAAATAGATTATTGCAACAAAAATTATACAATGTTATACTTGATTGATACTTCTTAAGATGTAGCTTAATTATTCAGATTTTTATTGATTTAGAATCTAAACTAAAGCATAAAGTTACTAACATCTAAGCTTCAATATTAATTATAATTTTTTTTAGAATTTTTAGATATTTTTTTAGTAGATTGAATAATAAAAATATGTAATTTTAATTTTAATATTTAAAATTTTCATATGAAAAAAAAAAAAAATATATATATATATATATATATATATTCATATAAATAAATAAATATTATTTTATAAAATTTGATATACTTTTTTTTCTCTTAAATATCAAATAAATACTATGAATATCATTGAATTACCTAATCTTGATATTGATTAGAATATGTAAAAGGTTAATTTAAGATTTAGTGCAAAAGTCAACAAATCATCTTAATTAATATGTTTTGGAGCTAAGATATTTATACAATTTGCAAACAATAAAATAAAATAAAATAAAAACCATTTTTATTTAAGCAACACCAAATCTTCATTCTAATAGAGGTTGTGGTCAAATTCCAAAGCCATATAAGCAATATCAACATTTATTTGAAAAAAAAACTCTTAACATATTGCCAAAATATGGACCTTGAAGTTGTGAAATTAATCTCTAAGAAAGAACTCAAGTGACATTTTGACCAATTTGCATCTTTTTTCTGAATCAATATGTTGCTTTGAATAAATATTTTTATAAAAAAATTAGACATTATTTTATTTAATATTCAAAATTTCTTACATATGTGCAAATTTTTATGTAAAGAAAAAGATAGATTCTTGCAAAAGTGTTTAGATTATTAAAGACTCAATAAATTGATCATCAAAAGTTAATATCTTTATTAATAATGTTAGAAATTTTAGAACAATTGAATAAAATTAAAATTAATATTAAAATAGATTAAAAAAGAACCTATATTCTAATATACTAAATTAAGAGAATGGATAAAAAACTAATTTTTGAATTAATTACGGCTATTTGAATATAAGGACATGCCTTTTAGGATTATAAATACTTCTTTTACTTTTTAGTATTTAATGAGTAATATCTTTTGTAAATTTTACTTTTTTTTATATATGATATCTTTGACAATATTCTTAGCTATTCTAAGAATATAAGAAATATAAGAAATATTTTTGCTTCATATTACAAGAACTTAGAAACACAAGACTATATGTTAAGATAATATATATATATATATATATATATATATATATAACTCAAGTAGAATTTTTAGGATATATCATCTTAAATAAAGTTTTTTAAATGGATTCTAAAATTTTTAAAATTATTATAAATTAAAATAGTCCAAGAACAATATATAATTTCTAATATTTTTTACGATTTACAAAATATAATTGAAAATTTATTAATAACTTCTTTGAAGTTCTTGCTCCACTCCCACAATTAACTTATTAAGAAAAATTAGAATATAATAAAGATGAAAATAAGTATTTAAGATTTAAAAAAATCTTTCATATTATTTACTTTAATTATCTAGATATTTTTAATTCGTACTTTATAATAATAAATGCAACAAAGCTTGTATTAAGTGCAATTGTATTACAAATAAATACAAATGATAAACTTCATTCTATTTCTTATTGTTTAAGAAATTTCTTAATTATTAAGATTAATTGTAAGGACTATGATACAAAAAAAAATAAAAAATAAAAAATTATTTTACTTTTATTTTATGAATGGCATTACCATCTAAAAAAAATTAATCTAATGATATTTCATATCAAATATGAGATTTTGAAGCATTTTATATCAATACATTTCTTAAGTTATTGCCAAGCTGTTGAAACATATCCTTCTTAGATGCCTAATTTAAACATTCTCATCTCATATTAAAAGAAAAAGATGCCACATATACATATATTATTCAGATATTTTAAAACTTTAATGAAGTTTTTTTGAATAGATTTATAAAGAAACTACTATAATAGAAACTAGATTAATGAAGTTTTTTTGAATAGATTTATAAAGAAACTACTATAATAGAAACTAGATTAATTTTTTTATATACATAACATTAGTAATATATATATATATATATATATATATATATATTAATTTTTATAATTTCACTAAAATAATTATCAATAAATATTTTAAAAAATATTATGCATATTTTTTGAATATTTTAGTTTTTTTAAAAATAATTTATTTTTTTTAATTTATTTTTTGTTAATATTATATATATATATATATATATATATATATATTTTTTTTTTCATTTTTTTCTATAAATATTTTTATAGTATTCTTTAAAAAAACTTTTAAAATTTTGGAAAAAAACCTTTGGTTTGTAAATTATTAGAAATTTGAAATAAGTCTAATTCTATCTCTATCAGGTCAAATCTTCACTAATAACTCTTTGCTTGTCTCTTACAAATTATTCTATATTTGATAAAAGCTATATAAACATCTTATTAGGCTTTAATGCTCTTTAGGAATCCAAATGTGTTTGAATTAATCTAAAATAAAACATATTAAATACCTATTATAGATGAATAATCAAATAACTAATTATTAATTCATAAACTCATCCATTTCTGTTAGTTTTTTTAATTAATCTAACATTCTTTAATAAAGTCTTTGTATCTCAAATACAACATTGACTCTTGCAATAGAAAAAACATATAAAATTTTATTATAATTTAATTGGTGTTGAGTATAATGTTTTTAATATAATCCTTCAAAAACATAATATCATTTAAAAATATTGAAACATGAATACACATTATGGTATATTTATTTATTTTTATTATAATTAAATTAAAAAAATAATTAAAATTTATTAATGAATATGAATTTTTTTTAATTGTAATTTCTGATTAGTATTATCATTTGAGAAACAACGATTTTTTTTGGATTATAGTCTATTTTTCACTAATAAAGGGTTTTGTAGAAAGTTACATTGATTATAAATTTAATAAATGAGATATTATTAGAATGGCATGATCAACAAAATTTGACAAAAGAATCACCAAGTCTGACAAGTTTTTAAAAATTATCAAAAATATATTAAAAAAATTAATATCACAACAATATAAAAGACATGCTTAGAAGAATTTAGAACCATTCATATTTGGTGTCTAAACATGCTTATACAATACTAATCCAATTCTAGCCCTACAAATTAAGCTGCGAATTTTACACTAGCCATATCTTATTAACTCTTCTTGAGTAGATCTAATGTTTTTTGCAAGTACTAAAACGTTTTTTTGCATGTGGCTTTGAAATAGCAAATAAAAGATCCATTGAAAGTAAAGATGGTTATTTAGATATAATGGTCAGATGTAATAAAATTACTAAATCTATTAGTTTATCAAAAACTAAATATATAACTAAAATTCTTATAAAATTTAATATGAATGATAGTAAACTTATCTCAATCCTTTTTGAAGTTAGATTAAGATTAACTAAAGAAATGATTTTGCTTGATCCTAAAGATATAGAGACAATGAAAGATTTCTTGTACTTAATTGCCATAGGATGCTTAATGCATACTATAACTTATTATAGGCCTAATATTCCTTTTGATGTTGGCCAAGTTACTAAGTTTAAGTCTATGATTAAGACAATTAAAAAATTATCTTGCCTTAGTAGGATTTTTATCTAATAATATGATATATAATTTTTTTTATTAAATCTTATTTAAAAAAATTATAATTATCATCATTAATTCAATACTTTTAACTTCTTAAAATTTAAAAATATAATATTAAAATTTTTAGAAAGAAGAATAGTAAAACTTTACATATTAATAAAGATATAGCCAATCCAATTTTTAGAACTTCTTTGCAATATAAAGAATCAACAACTTACTAAATATATTTCAAATTTTTTATTTAAAAAATTAACAAGTAAAGCATTTTAGATTTTATTAATCTTCACAATATTAGAATCAAACTAAAGATATTTAAGAAAAACATGTCATTTTTTAAATA